TGGATAACATATTTGCTTCGAAAATTTGCAGGATAAATTGTTACGACAACTATAAATATTATTTGCATAATGCAAGTACCAAATAGAAGAGAGAGGAAAACCTTTTTCTGTAAACTTGGTTGCCCTTACCTTTTTCGTATTGGCTAATAAATTACATAGATTTTGTATAACTTAATTAAATTTAAGGAAATATACCAACATTTCAGAGTAAAAAGGATCTCATTATAGGAAGGAGTTTTACTTACGTACCTATCTTGTGACCGACAGCTGAAATACAATGTAAAATGCTGTAGTGATTAGGTGTATATAGTAAGTTGGTCGCAGTTGAGAAACCCTTTTATTTATCAAAGTAAGTATTAAGCAGAGAATACCAGGAAGAGGGTGATTATTATTTTTTACACAATTTGTTGAGTCGCACCGAATAGTGGCGTCATGGTATTCTACAAAGAAGTACAACGCACAGATGTGAATTTAATTTGGAGTCGATGCTAGCAAAATAACTTTGTTGCTGCGAAGCAAGGATGGTCATGTAGAAGGAGACTCGACGACAAAGATTTTAAAAGATCTAGCTAGACTGTAGAATCTAGGCAAGACAGTCCTTCCTAAGTAGAGGTCCAACTGACTTTACGACGATGCTGATGCAGATGCAAAAAGCAAAGTATGTAGATGTGGCATACCTTTGAGCTTTATCGCTGTAAAGTCGTGCAATACTAGACGAACAGAAGAAAATTGCTTAAATATGGTTAACAAGCTGCAACTAGTTGCAAATAGTTGTTAAAGAACCGAACGACGTTAAAATCCACATGATGAGGCAGGATGCTGATATGAAGCGAACCAGGCATGAAAGGGCCGAGTGCGAGAGCAAAATTATTTGCCATAGGGGCGAAGGGAGCAGTTGAGGAATTATGTGATATAAATAAGAACTTATACTTGGTGCAAGAATTCATTGTATGGCATTTATAATCGTAGGATTTGCGACAATGATGAAAATATGATTACTTGGAAATAGAAATACATAATTTCGTGTAACTAAACTAACTGGAGTAATGATATATCACTACAAAATAATTGCAAAGAAATTGATTGATACTGCGATATCTATGTAAATTAGATGCTTTTAAGTCTCTAGAATAACTAAAATCCGTCTTAAATTACGTTATTATATATTTCAATTATTTTATTTCTTGAAATAGGGGTTGAAAATTTTGGTTCGAAATTGCTTTCGCAACTTGCTTGGAGCGTCAGGGAGACCTTGTATAACTTTACTAGTCCCGTGTCCTCTACCATAGTATTCGTGATTTCCAGCAGTATGCCATTCACTTTGTACATTTTTAAACGTTAATAGTATCTAAGTCGACATCGTGAGTGAGAGACGCCATCGTAATCAGAGTTTAAACTCATCACCTTGATAAGTGAAGGCAATCCCATTTTCAAATTTTATGTTGAACCGTTGTGGCATCACTCCTCGCTTCTATTTATTATCCAATCTTCTAGTGCCGCATCCCTTACTCTTAACCCCACTTATTTATACAATTCTGTGCCGACTACGATGCCGGCGAAACGTTTAAGGATGTACCCAGACAATGGCCCGATGCTAGAAATCACAAATATTATGGCAAAGGATACGGGACTATGTTCGTTCCCCAAGGTCCCGCTGACGCTCAGACCAAGTGGCGAAAACAGGTTTGAACGAACACTATAAAGCTAAAGAAGACTGCGACCAAACATAAGCTCATTCCATCTTGGTCTTCATATCTAAAAGTTTAAAGCCCTGTAATTCACATTTTACAGAAAATTTCCTTGAATCTGAGAAATAAAGTATTACTAATGCTACCTTTTCAAGGCAATCTCCAAATACTTCACTGTGTTGAGGCCACCAAGTTTTGTTTTAATTCTTTCTACATACTGAATAATAACTTGCAAGCATTCTCTTCATCAAGTAAATAAATGCCCTTACTTAGCCATTTATGAAAGTTTATTTCGTCTACTATGTCTTGAAAAGTTCTTAATAGCAGAATTGAACCCTTCTCTTATTTTGAAAGCATTCGACTCCCTTCAAACGATATTTGTCAGTAAGCCTCTATCATACAAGCAGAATAGATAAGGAACAAAATCCAGTTGTGCTGTAGTCGCATAACTATAAGCCGTAAAAATATATTTAGTTAAAATACAGCTGAATTTTGTCTCCGTCCTTTATGAAGGTGGAAAGGCAAGATCATATTATGAAAACAGCTCAAATAAGACCTCCATGCTGGATTTGAGAAGCAAACTTAAAGAAACGACACAATTATAATCTTCGGAAGCACATGTAAGATCATAATAGTTGATCTGAAGTCCTATAGATGTGAGCACACCGTAGTGTTGCTGTTGAAGTCTCTCTGAAACATAGTGCTGGGTGATCACAGTCCTATTTATATAAGGGGCATACATACTTTTACAATCACAAAAGCCGAAGGAGAAGGAGAGACGTATTTGAACGCGAGATAGAAAGATAAAATTTTGATTTAGATCCAGGAGAGGGGCAGCTTATTTCAAGATCTGACGCCATTACAGTGAGGATCTTCAGGTGGAATTTGAGAAGACCATCGGGACATTTCGCCGGACATTCAAGAAACTGGATGCTGACGCTGGAGCGAGTATGTCGCGCATGTTTGGTGTGACAGAGCCAACGCCAATAGTCAAATTTGAAGTTATGCCACGGATAAGTCACTTCAGTTAAAAGTTCTTGCATGAAGAGGATATCAGCTTTTGATTGGTGCCGTAGAATTAATTAGACTTAGTGCAAAAGGGTTTTCTAGTAAGCTAAGCTTTAGGCTCGGTATACCTAATTTAACAAAGATCTTACTTTTCGAAGCGAATATTGCTCAATGATGGATTTAGGCTATTTTGTCTCAGAGCTGCATATTATACTGCACTTATAGTAGGTTTGCCTAATTAGTTAAGCCTTATACTTTTAAATCAAATTAATTAAAAGGCTACAAACACGATTTTCATATCACTTATAACTTGTGAAATAACATCATTTTATGATATTATCAGCAGCTCTTAAATACGAATTTTATTTACATGTGTTTCCCAAAAGCTAATTCAATCAAGAGTAGACCGCAGTTTTGTTTCCTCTTGGGAATAGTTAATGCTCCAACCAGAGTCAGACCTGGGTAGTGCAGCGTATATTTTTAATAATTATCCACTACGCCTTGCGACCACTGGTGCCAGATGATCACAGAATACATTTCAATTTAAAGGCAATTCGAAATTTTTATAGAAGGATTGTCGATGAAGTAACATTTCTATTGCTGTTAAAATGGGCTACACTAATTTTATTTGTAATGAGTATGCTTTCGATAATTCGATTAGACCATAAGTAAAGTCGCTGCATCATCGGGATTTGATTCCCGTTGTAGGTGTTGATGATAGACAGGCGAGTTCGAAACTGCAGTTCATGCTAGATGAAATGATTTTTTAAGATGAGAGGTTGGTTAAAAACCTTTCAAATCATCAGGCACCCAGAGCAGTGCGGAGTAGTGATGATATTTCGATATTATAGGAAGCACTATAAATGTCCCATCTCCGCCAAGGATGCTGATAAGAACTAGGCAAGGTTGTAACTGTACCATATACCTGATAAAAATAACCTTTGGGAGATGAATCTAATGGAAGTTAATGTTAGCATTCAAAACAAGGTTTTGAAGAATTCATTCTGGATATATTATGCCATAGCTTTCCAATTCGTAGAATGATTTGGTTGGAAAGAATTGGTTATGTGGTCTCAGCCGAAACTAAAGAAGGATTTTTGAGTAAGATAGACTGTTATATCGTGCGAAAAAAGTTCTCTATTGACCGTCCTGTGATGGTCTTTTGTAAGCTTTCGTCTGTACTGTGACAGACATAATCAGAGCAAGAATTCATACTTCACGAAATAGAGCAAAAATATACTAAAACAAGAAAAAATGTGGCCGGCTACAACGTCAGTCGCTTTATCATACACCTAACGTGACGAATTATGCCTTTATAAGATGTATTAATGAGCGAGGTTCTCTATTAATCTCTTCACTAACTACATATATAGAATCAAAATGGTAGTTATGAAATCAGTGAGAATAAGGAGTTTGCTACTAGCAGTCGTATACCACAGCGGCCAGGAAATCAGTAGCTTGATGCATATATTACTTTAAAACAATTACCCACTAAGATTCGTTGGAAATTACATTTCAATTGTCAGTAACAAGATCAGAGGGAATTG